GAATTGAGAGGCAAGTGGGGCGCAGCCCCCTACAACCACAGGGGGAGGCCGGGGCAGAAGTTCACATACAGGCAGACAGATACACGCACACCCCGGGTCCCGGGGCCGTCTTCAGGGCAGGGACAAGGCTTTGGCAAGGCGAGTCCAGAACCAGTTTTTGGTGCAGGGGTTGGTGTAGTCGCAGACAGTGATGAACCGCAGGATGCTGGGGAACTCTTTCTTCATTTCCTTGTACTTGACAGGAATCAGTCGCTTCTGATGGGCACCTGCAAGCCCAGGGGTATAGAGCTGGCACCAGGCCCTAACCCCACGGTAGGGTGGGACCAGTACCCAGCCCAAGGGTTAACAATAGCCCTCCCCCAACTAAGCATCCCAGCACACATTCACCCTCAAAAAAAGGCACTCGTGCACACACACTCAGGCATGCAGAGACCCGCAGGAGTTCCTCAGTGTTGCATCCATGGCCCTTGGTGAGGGAAAGCTGGCATCCTAAGGCCCGGACCACCCACTCTTCTGTGGCAAGGGCAGAACTGAGCTTACCTGGAGACAGGCTGAGCGCAAACTTAGTCTGGAAGTCACACTCCTTGCTTTGCAGGTAGTCATCTGAGACAATCACCACCATCCGGCGGCACCTAGGGCGGAGTGAGCAGGGTGCGGGCTCTGTGGCGACCCAGTTCAGCACACTCCCAAGGGACAGCCTTGGGAGGAGCCCACTGTGCCCAGGCTAGACAGGGCGCAACTGGGAGAATCCCAGCATCTGGATCCCTGGGCAGGGCTTTATGCACCCACCCACTCGCTCCCTGGCCACCTAGCCAACCTCTTCTCAATGAGCTCACTGGCGATAGACCAGACACAGGTGCCAGGCAGGACATCGCGGTCGGACACACACAACTTCAGCCGATAGTTTGTCTGTTCCAGCTGCTGGATCATCTCCTGCACAAACTGGATGTCGCTGGAGCAGTAGCAGATAAAAGCATCAAATCGCTCAGGCATTTGCCCTGGGTACGGAGCACAAGGGTGATTGGTCAGAGCTGTGCAGGAAGGCTGGGGAGAAGCCCAGCCAGGAGCCCCCAGCCTAGGCAACCCTTGTCCTGGACCCTATACCACCCCTGAGATGACGCTCCTCAGAGAAAGTGCCCTTCCCAGAAGAGGAAGCATGAACACCTACCTCCCCACCACTCCCTGCCCTGGGCCAAGCCCTGGGTTGACCATGAGACAGACACATCATTTCATGAGAGTCTCATACCCACCCAGGGGTAGGACCATTTCTTAGATGAGGAAACAGGCTCAGAGAGATTAAGTGATTTGCTCAAGCTGCCACAGTCCATCTACTTTCAGTATCCATGCTCTAAACACCTCTGGCCCAGGGGAGCAGTACTGGGCCCTTACCCAGGGGGTCATCAAGTGTGGTAATGCCCGCCAGCTCTGTTGTCCGTGGGACGCTGCTGTCTACAGCAGCCACCTGTAAGGGCTTCTCAGACTCCTCCTGCTGCTGCTTCAGAATATACTTTTGGCAATCCTCCTCTGTGGGGAAGAGACAGAGTGTGGTAGGCTCCCCAGGGGTGCCCCACACCTCTACCCACAGTGAGGATCCAGCCCCTGTCCCACCTCCATGGCCATGCTGTGTTCCAGGGTTTCTCCAGCCCACTGGTGCCATCCACAGCTTGAAAGCTCTGAAAAGGAGCCTACCTGCCTCTTGACCATCCCAAAGTGTTATCAATAGTGTTCTGGCCATCCAGGAAGCCATCAAAGTCAGACTTGTATCTTTCTGTCCCTTTGCCCCGGCCCCCCTTCCTAGGCCTCCTGAGAATAGAACACAAGGTCTGCTTCTTCTAGAATCCACAGCTGATGTAAACAGGTACCAGACTTGCAAGAAGGGCTCAGGAGAACCAGTGGTTATGTGCAGAGTGAGGGCAGAGGCTCCAACCAAGCAAGATGTGCCCATTGTCCCTGTGCCTATGCATGTACCTTGAGTGAGTGTCAGCGAGTGACAGGAAGGGACGCGTTTCCCAGGGACCTGAGTTTCCACGTTGTCAGCTTTCAGTCCCTCACCCGCCCTGTTGCTNAGATTTAGGTTCCTGGGTTCTGCCCTGGGACAGAGACCTGAGACCATGACATCTTCTCCCCAAAGGAGAGCTTAAAGTTTAATGTATGAATCCCCTGGCGGAGGGAAAAATAGCTGTGTCTGTAGCTCACTTGCTGCATGAGTTCAAGCAGGCCTCTTCCTTGCTCTGTGCTTCATTGAAGGTGTAAATGCTGGCATATTGGGTCCTTCCTTGAGTCTGGTTCCAATGAAGTGGCAAGAAAGAGGAAAGGAATGGAACAGTGTCCCGCCTTTGTCCAGGTTAGGGTCCCTCAATGGTGGGACTATCTCACCTAGCCATACCTGGGAGCTGTACCCAGGGAAATGTGTGCATGAAGGGGTGTGTGTGTGTGTGTGTGTGTGTTGTGTGTAATGTATGTCTCTGTGTTTGTATGTATCCATGTGTCATGTGCCCACAAGCTTTGGGGCAAGAGGCTCTTGCATGGTCACTGTCTGTAAACTGGTCCCAGCAAGCAACTTTGTAAGGCAATCGAGGTACAGAAGGTTGGTGGGCAAGCTCTCTGTAGGTGGCCCAGGGAGAAATGTTTCCTGCTTACACTGCCATGGTGACCCAGCCTCAGAATCCAAACTTGATGGATCCCATCCCGTGCCAGGCAGAGCTGAGAGTGCGACCACAATCATCTTGATGGGTGGAGGTGAAAAGCGGCCCCAGCTACTCAGGGGACTTGTCACACTGAAGGTAAGCAGGGGCTGGGAGGAATCAGAGGCAGATGAGAGGTGAACCCATTGGGGAATTAAGCTCAAGCTGGGATCTCCCCGGGGTGGGCCGGCATCGACCCCATGGGGCAGGAGGAAGTGGGATGGGAGGTGGGTAACGAGTAGGCACCATTGTGGAAGCAGCTGCCCTGGCAGTGCCGTGGTCCCAGCAGTGGCCAACACATGGCCCAGGCAGCCAGCTCC